CTCAGCTTTGGCCCCACTAGCAGATTAACAGAAACACCTCACTTCTCGCTGACACCACCTTGGCTACACCTCCACTGGGCAGTCCGAGGAAGGGGAGACGCTCCTGAGTTCATGGTCTGGTCACCTCACTAGCTGCACCATCTCCAGCTAGGTGTGACATTTTGTGGAGTGAGAGCACATAGTGAGAGCGTATAAAGGAGCTCTGCACACATCATGCCCTCCCATGCCGACCTGCTAGGACAGCTTTCCCCTGATTGTGCCCCTGCCTAATCCTGAAATTTACATGGAAATGCACAAGACTTAGAATAGTCAAGATCATCTCTAAAAAGAAGGAAGTAGGAGCGCTTATACTAGCAGAATTTAAGACTTAGCGAAGAGCTGCAGCATTTAAGACACTGCAATTCGATCAATGAGACAATAGAAGTCCAGAAATAGGCTCGTATGTCTCCAGTCAACGGAATTTTGAAGAAACACTAATGCAATTCATTGGGGGAATAGAAGGCCTTTTAAAAGAAAGGGTGCCAGAGGAATAGGTATCCATATGAACCACAGAGACCTATGTATGACAACAAAAAGATGAACTTCTACAAGGACATGCAGGACAATATCTGCACGGCCTTGAAGCTGTCAGCTATTTCTCAGATGGCTTAGAAATGATAACAAACGATGAAAAATTAAGACATTAGTCTTCATCAAAATCAAATTTTTCTGCTCATTAAAAGACAGCAATATTAACAGATAAGCCATAGACCAGTAGAAAATATTTGCAATACACTGTCTGACCAAGACATTTTATTAAAGGTATACAAAAAACTACAAGCAGAAAAACATAGAGAAATTACTTGAAAGGGCACACACAGAAGACGATCCATGAAAGGCCAATAAATCCATGAAAAGGTGCCTGCTGTGTCAGTCATCAGGGACAGAGGAATTAAAATCACACCAAGAAACCACAATACATTAGAGTAGATACGGTTGTGCAAACCAATACTTCTAAGTGTTGACGAGGACTTGGTGCAACTGAAACGTGATGCCTCGGTGGTGGGAGCTTGAAATAGTACAAGTACTGAGGGAAAGAATTTGTTTTTAACAAACACCTGCCTAATATACATCTATCTTAAGGCCCATCAGTTCCACTCCTCGGTCTGCACTGCAGAAAATGAGTGCACACATCCACTAAAAATTTATCTGAGAATGTTTGTGGCGACTTTAATCCTAACAGCAAAAACCTGAAAGCAAAATAAATATCATCAAAAGAAGAATGGGTAAGCAAGCTGTGATACTGCTTCTCAGCCCCAGAGAAGAATAATCTGATCCACATATACTGATGAATCTCAAAAATCACATTGAGCAACGTAAAGCAGACACGGAATCCGAACTGCATGATCCCGCTAGTACAAAGTCCAGGGACCGGTGAGACTGACTCCATGGTGATAGAACGCAGAGGATGGTCAAGTCTGAGGTCGGACATTACTGGAAAAGGGGCTCCAAGGGCGCCTCCCAGGACATGGAATATTCTAGATCTGGTCTTGTGGGCAGTCACGTGGGTGCACACATGTATAAAAATTTGTCAAGCTATGGAAATAAGATCTATACACTTTCTTATAAATGTAAGTGGTCTTCGATGAAGTGCTATACAAATTACCTTTATGGAAACACTAACTAGAGTGACGAACAGGAAGATAAAGTTCGAGGGTCTGCATGAGGTAAATGCTCTAGTCTCTCTTTAATTGTTCCTGGTACTTGTGTCGTGCAGGGGCTTTTGTTGTGGTGGTGGCTGGTATTTTCGTCTGTTGAACTTAGAGCTTGAAATCTGCATTGATGTGCACAGAGCAAGGAGACCACGTTATTCTGGCTTAGAGCAAAAGAAACTTCAGTGGGACCGGAGAGTTAAATGCTCTGGAAAGGGACTAGGGAGACTGAACAAGAGATCTCAAAACCAGCCCCGGCACCGCGTTGGGACCCGGCGTAAGAAGACAGGGAGGCAGAAACTGGGGGAAGAGCCTGGCTAACTGATCTGACTCCCAGGAGTGAGCAGAATGAATGTCTGTTGAGAATTGGCGGGGATCCCAGACCTCTCCCATCAAACGAACGCGGGTGTCATGGCTGTCAGGGCCACCTGGCCCGGAGGAACTCACAGCTTTTACCTTTGAAAGCAATAACCCAAAGCTCTTGGAAGCCGGCACTCCATTGGGAAGACCGTCTAGAAAACACCCCCACGGCGCACACACACCGTGACTCACCTTGCCAGAGAAATCCAGTTTAGAAAAACATAACGAAGACAAATGGCGCCAGGGAGTCCCCAGCCCCTGCTTTCGAGGCAGTCAGGATCTCCCGAGACACGTGCCAACACCTGGTCCTCACTAAGCACCCCAGGCAGAGGCAGCCCACTGGCAGGTGCGACAGCTAGGGACCGGTTCTTCCTCCGCCCCACGCGCCCCGACGGCCTGCCCGGGGGCTGTGCAATCTCGGGCAGACCACGCAGAGCTTTTCTGGCCGTGAGTAGGTTGAAGCAAGCGGGCTCTTTTTCTGGGTGCTAAAAAGAGCAGCCCAAAGTTATTTCTAGACTGCCAACTCCTCCCTCCTCCCAGCTCAGACCTGCCAGGCCGGAAGCCTCTGCCTCTTGTTTATCCCCCTCCCACCTCCCGCCTATCGCTGGGCATTTGTGGGGTCCTCAGAGATACCTCCTGGGGGTCTCTGACTGCAGTTCTTTGGCGCGCACAAAGCTCTCAGGCCTGTCTCTGCCAAGGCCCCCTGGCCCTGAGCAGAAGCCCTCCTGGGCAGAGTCCTTTTCAAAGCCGTTCACCGCTGCCTCCCTTCCTTGAGGTCCACCCCGGGCTCAGAGAAATCACTGTCCGCCTGGCTCTGGGTGTAGTGCCCCTCACTCACACGCCGACCACTTCAGCTAGCTCAGCTCTGGGTGTTTCTGAGTGCGAGTCCAGGCCTGTCCCTTGTCCCTCAGCGGCTGGCGATTCCCAAGCAGGTCTCTTATACTCCTCACGTGGCTTCAGACAAGGGCAAAGCCCCCGCCCCGCCTCCAAGGACGAATGGCTGTGTGCGTGTGTGTGTGTTTGCATGTGCATGTGTGTGTGTGCGTGTGTGTGTGCATGTGCATGTGCATGTGTGTGTGTGCGTGTGTGTATGTGCATGTGTGTATGCATGTGCATGTGTGTTTGCATGTGCATGTGTGTTTGCATGTGCATGTGTGTGCGTGTGTGTACGCAGGTGCATGTGTGTGCGTGTGTGTATACATGTGCATGTGTGTGCGTGTGTGTTTGCATGTGCATGTGTGTGCGCATGTGTGTATGTGTGTAATAGCCAGAGGGCGGGGGTGCTCATCAGAGAGAACTAGAGATGGGGAAAGAAAGCGCCCCCCAGTGGGGTGCGGTCACATGGCAATCCGTCTGTTTCTCCACTTTGGGCACACGCGCTCGGCATGTCTTTCAAGCCATTAGGGTCAGGAATCTGAGGTTGGCCATGAGGCGTGTGGCACCGCTCACCACCAGCCTATGGGGACAGTCCTACTCTTTTTTCTTCTTTAAGAAAATCACGGAATTTCTTGCTTTATTTCATTTAGCACCACACCCTCGTAGCCCTGCTGGGACTTCACAGCGAGCCCTGCCCGTCTTTGCCTGAACCGGCCCTTTCCCCTGAAGTGCCAGCTCTTTTCCTTCCCCCCTTTTAAAAGCTTTTGCTTGCCAGAGAGGGCGGGAAAATGGGAAATCACACCCCCTGGGTCCTGGCCACTGCAGTCCCCTCTTCGTTTCCCCTTTTAGGGTTCTGGGCGCGCCCACACAGGTGCCAGCCTTTCTGAATCCGCGGGTCCAAGACCCAAAGGCGCAGTGGGGCTAGGGACCAAGGCGCTCTAACCTCCAGGCCCAGGCCGGCCTGGTCCAGCTCTTACCTCGCTCTCTGGGCTCCGGGGTCTGTCCGCGTCGGCTTTCTCCAGGCCGGCTTTCTGCTGTGGCGGGGACTCAAGGTCGGGGGCTCAGTGGTGGATTTCCCACGTCCCTGTGAATCTAGACATTGAAGAAGTGGAACAGGTGAGAAGGTATCCCCCATTTCAGGCAGTTCTCTCTGTGACAAGGACTGTTCCAACTGCCACCCTGGAGGGGATGGGAAGTAGAGTGAGGGGTCGTCCTCCTCCTTTCCTCCCTGGAGGGGGTTTGCTGTACTTTGTGCTGTATTTAACGACCTGGGAGTGTGTGCGTGTGTGTGTGCATGTGCATGTGCATGTGTGTGTGTGCGTGTGTGTATGTGCATGTGTGTATGCATGTGCATGTGTGTTTGCATGTGCATGTGTGTGCGTGTGTGTACGCAGGTGCATGTGTGTGCGTGTGTGTATACATGTGCATGTGTGTGCGTGTGTGTTTGCATGTGCATGTGTGTGCGCATGTGTGTATGTGTGTAATAGCCAGAGGGCGGGGGTGCTCATCAGAGAGAACTAGAGATGGGGAAAGAAAGCGCCCCCCAGTGGGGTGCGGTCACATGGCAATCCGTCTGTTTCTCCACTTTGGGCACACGCGCTCGGCATGTCTTTCAAGCCATTAGGGTCAGGAATCTGAGGTTGGCCATGAGGCGTGTGGCACCGCTCACCACCAGCCTATGGGGACAGTCCTACTCTTTTTTCTTCTTTAAGAAAATCACGGAATTTCTTGCTTTATTTCATTTAGCACCACACCCTCGTAGCCCTGCTGGGACTTCACAGCGAGCCCTGCCCGTCTTTGCCTGAACCGGCCCTTTCCCCTGAAGTGCCAGCTCTTTTCCTTCCCCCCTTTTAAAAACTTTTGCTTGCCAGAGAGAGAGGGAAAATGGGAAATCACACCCCCTGGGTCCTGGCCACTGCAGTCCCCTCTTCGTTTCCCCTTTTAGGGTTCTGGGCGCGCCCACACAGGTGCCAGCCTTTCTGAATCCGCGGGTCCAAGACCCAAAGGCGCAGTGGGGCTAGGGACCAAGGCGCTCTAACCTCCAGGCCCAGGCCGGCCTGGTCCAGCTCTTACCTCGCTCTCTGGGCTCCGGGGTCTGTCCGCGTCGGCTTTCTCCAGGCCGGCTTTCTGCTGTGGCGGGGACTCAAGGTCGGGGGCTCAGTGGTGGATTTCCCACGTCCCTGTGAATCTAGACATTGAAGAAGTGGAACAGGTGAGAAGGTATCCCCCATTTCAGGCAGTTCTCTCTGTGACAAGGACTGTTCCAACTGCCACCCTGGAGGGGATGGGAAGTAGAGTGAGGGGTCGTCCTCCTCCTTTCCTCCCTGGAGGGGGTTTGCTGTACTTTGTGCTGTATTTAACGACCTGGGATGCACTCTCTGCGACAAGGACAGTTATGGTGCCAGAAACTACATACACACATACAGGGACTTTGAAAAGTTATGGGAAAATGGAATTAAAATGTGAGTTTATTTGGGGACAAAAAAAAAAAAATTGAGGGACCAGCAGATGGCTTGGTGGTTAAGACGCTGGACACTCCCACATGGCTGACCACGGTTCGAGTCCTGGACCTGGTGGCTTGCTTTCCCACTTTCCTTCTCTTTCTCTCTGTGTTTCTCTCTGGTCAAATCAAAATAAAATGAATGAATGAATAAAAGTCAATAAATATTTTTTAAAAAATTGAAATCACATAGAATTTTTCATAATACACATTTTCCATGGACTTTTTGAAGACTATTCATGTAACATAGTGGAAGAAGAACATTGGAAATAAGGTACCGACCTAGTGAGCGTCTTAGCGGGCAGGAAAGCCGTAAGCACTGGCGTTATCGTCTCACTGGACCGAAGTCACTGGCACTTTTAGCATCTAAGTCTGCAGTGTCTGAGGTCCAGTCAGTATTAATAAGTGAAGTCCAGTTTCCTTCCCTCGGAGGGCCGGATCACCCACAGGGGCGATCACTAGAGCCATTTAGAGGGTGGAATGGGGGTGTCCTACACCTGCCAGAGCAAAGGCATGTCGTGAACCCAGAGCAGACGGTTTTCTCCTTGAACTCCAGATCGGCAAATATCGCATTCTTGGGGAGTTAACTCCAGGGAGGTGAATGGAGGGAGTCACTTTGAAAACAAAACTATGGGCCAGGGGCCTGGAAGGTGGCATAGCAGTAACATGGCTTGCAAGACTGACCCACACGGGCAGGTTCCGGGTTCACTTATGGAGACCTCCCTGAACACGAGACCAGCCATGACCCAGGCAGACTGAAACTAGGGTGGAAATGGACGAGAAAGACCCTCCTGGGGGTTTCTGCATCTCTCTTTCTCTGTCTGTCTTTCTTATAGCAGAAAGAAAGAAAGAAGAAGGGAAAAAAGAAAAAAAAAAGAAGGGAGGAGAGAAAGAAAAAGAAAAAAAAATGAAGGCTGAAAAAACAAAAGAACACAAGAAAACAAAACAACAACTCTGCGAGTCTGGTATAAACATTTCCGGGCTGGACCTAAGTGGCCCCTTTGAGGCAGCAGGAAGTGAAGGGGCCCGTTCTACACTCTCTGCTTGCCCGGGGGAGGCCACAGACTCCGAGCTCTTTCCCCGTCAAGCCCGATTCCTCTCCAGCCTCATGTGGCACAGCCCTCCCCCCACGCCCCCAGAGCCACCCCACTGGGCCACTGCCCTGCTGCTCTGTCCACTTGCAGTGCTGTCACCGCCCTGTCCCCAGGGTGGCCCCTAGCCACGTGTGACTGCCCCGCATTGAGATGAGGCCAGTGCGATGAGGCGAGTCCTTCATTTTATTTCACTTCATTTAAATTTCAGTGTAAAACAAATACTCTGCTCAGTTGTGGGAACCTCTGAGGGTGTTTGGAACAGCTCGGGGTGTGCATCACCTTTCCCGACTGCACGTTCTCTGAAATCCAAATTCAGGTCAAGTATTTCCAATGAAAATTTGGCAAGTGACTTGAGAGGGCCTGCGAGTATGGAATAGTCAACAAATTTTAAAGTCTTAGTGCAAAATAAAATAAAAAGAATGTAACATATTTCATGGAAAATAGTTTTATTGATTAGCTACCAAAAATAGTAATAGTTTTTTACTATATTGGGTTAGATAAAATGCATTGCTAAAATCAGTTTTCCCTGTTTCTTTGAACTTTTTAATGTGGCCACTGGGAAATTTTTTTTTTTTTTTAAGATTTTTTGCCATAGGGCACATGCACCTACTGAGGAGAGACAGAGTCTGGGATAGGAAAGTGAGAAATCACCCTCCAGGGGGTTGGCACGCCAGTCCCTTCTCCTCCATTCTCCTAGGGATTTAGGGCACACATGCAACCATGCCTGGTGTTATTTTCCCATCGCGGGGTCCTGGACTTGAACCATGGCTGGCCATGTGAGAGTCCAGCACTTTAACCTCCATGCCACCTGCTGGCCCCACCGCTGGGAAGTTTTAAATGACATATGTGGCTTACATTATGTTTCTGTTGGACAGTGCTGTCCTAACCCCTTGTCCATCTGCATAGGCTTCGGGGCCTTGAAGGACCTGAAGTCCATTCCAAGTTCTAGGACTCACTAGTTGTATGGTTTGGGGTGAGTGTCTCAATCTCTCTGAGCCTCCACTTGTTTTCCAGTCTGTAAAATGGGCATGATAAGAATAACCTTGAGGAGCCGGCAGGTGGCATGGTGGTTAAGGTACTGGATGCCCACATAGCTGACTGTGGTTCGAGTCCTGGACCAGGCAGCTTGCTTTCTCACTTTCTCCTTCTCTTGCTCTCTCTGTCTCTTTGGTCAATTTAAAAGATAATAATAAATAATAATAACACAGAAAAATAAATAAGTAAGTAGTTTTTAAAAAATAGATACTGTTAAAAAACAAAACAAAAACAAGAATAACCTTGACATGTCAGACTAGAGGTCATGAGGACCACCATGCCTCGCCCAACTAGCTCCCGTCTCTCACTGGCTTTGCCTTACCACCCTCCAAGACACTTCCAAAATAGAAGTCTTCCTGGCCCATCAGAAGGTCTAGTTCTCGGCCTTTACAGCTCTTCTAAACTTTGGCACCTACCTCACAGGGGAATGATGGCATTGCACTACTGCAGGTCCCTCAAGGGCAGAGACTGACTTTCTTTACGTGAGGATGTATTTTTCCCATCCTGTGTATGTTTTGTTTGAAATATTCACAGAAGTGGAGGGTGCTAGAGAGGACCAGTCACCCAGTCCCTGACCACCTGGTATTTCATCACCCATTGCTCTCACGTATCTCAGGGCTCAGCACACAATTTTGTTGGTGCTGGTGACAGATGGCTCACAAGCACAAGTCTTACGATAGTCAAGAGGTGGAGTCAACGTCCCCATCCCCTTTCATCGAGGCTGGCCCTGGGAGCTGCTTAGACCAACAGTGTGGTCAGCTGACTGTGGGAGATTGGAGTCTGGGCCTCGAGGGGCCTGGATGCATCTGCTCTGCTCCCTGGGAGCCCTGCTGCTGTGCGAGCGAGCCCGAGCCAGCCTGCTGGAGGATGAGAGGCCGTGTGGAGCAGAGACACGCAGCCCCAGCTGAGCCTCCCTCCAGCCAACCAGCTCACTAACCACCAAAGGGGTGAGCTACTTCTTGACCTTCTGACCTCAGATGAGCCACCAGTTGACTACAGAGGTCTGACAAACTGGAGCAGAAAGGGAACCACCTAATGGAGCCTCAGAATTTTGAGGAAAATAATCATTGTTTAAGGCTCTATTTGTTTTTGAAAAGAAATGTGCTTTTATTTTTGTAAGTTTTAGTTATTTCTTTCATGAGAGAGATACGTCATCCCCAGTGGGGTCTTGATACCACCATCTACCCCCCAGCCTCCAGTTGGCTCTGAATTGTGAGCCACAGTGCTCCTCGGAGTACTCAGGGAGGTCTCCAGCTGGAGGGACTGTCTTATAGGGTGTTGCATGTTGCCACAAGGCCACTGTGTGACCCCCAAAGTCCCTATGTTGTGAGAGTTTTTGTTTTGTTATTCAGAGGAATTTGCCTTAGGTTGCATACACTTGCCAGAGAGAGAGACAGAGACAGTGAGAGGGAAAGTGAGAAATCACCTCCCCCAGGGAGGACGGCCATGACGCAATCCCTTTTCCTCCATTCTCCTCCTGGGGTCGTAGATGTGTGCGCACACATGTGCCCAGTGTGAGTTTCAAGTCACCAGGTCCAGGACTTGAACCCCAGCCGGCCATGTGCAAGTCCAGCAACATAACCACTACGCCATCTGCTGGCCCCTTGCGGGTGTTTTAAATGTGGCAAATGGCTACTTGAGGCCGAGTTTAGAGAGTGCTCTTGAATGAGCGATGCAGTCCCCGAGTCTAAAGCAGGGCCGCCCTCTCCTGCACACACAGGGAGCCTGATGGCTGTGGTGGCTGCCGTGCCCCAGGGGTCAGTACAGTGTCATGCACACTGCGACCCCTGCCTGCCGCCTGCTCAGCCACCTGCGCCAGCCCCGAGGAACCGCCGTGGAGCTTGGATACACCTCAATCGTACAGGTTTCCAAGTCTCACTGTGTTCAGGTGGTATCTACTAGGCAGGTGAGGTGGGCCAGGAACTAGTCCGAGATTATGGCCTGCTGCACAGAGGCTCCCGAGGCGTTAACCTCCGGTACTTTCAGGGCAGCAGAAAGTCTGGCCATCACAGTGACAGCGAAAGGACAGGCTAGAACCAGGACATTCGTATTCCTGGCGGCCGCATCTCCCTCCTAGCAGGCAGGTGTGTCTGGGCGTGTTTTGTTGAGTCCTGGGACAAAAAAAAATCTCCTATAAGTAAAAGTCAACCTTGGGCCAGCTGATGGTGTAGCAGTTATGTTGCTGGACTCCTACACAGTCAACTGTGGTTTGAGTCCTGGACCCGGTGGCTTGAAAATCACACCAGGCGTGCGTGCGTGCTTGCCCAAGATCCTGAGAGGAGAATGGGAGAGAAGGGTTTGCAGTGTGTCCATCCTCCTGGGGGATAATCTTTTATTTTCTCACTGTCTCTGTTTCTCTCTCTGTGGCAAGTGCATGCACCCTAAGGCAAAAAACTCCTCTAAAAAAGATAGAGGCCAATCTACTGGAAATGAGGCTCCACACTTGGCGTGCACACGGCACTGGACTGTGGGGTCCAAATTCTTTAGCTGATGGCTTCGCCATCCAGCCGCTGCCCTGCTCCCGCTCAGGCCCGTGCCTCGTACTCTCCCGTCATGGCATGAGGCCCTTTCGGTACCAACTACCCCAACCAGACGCAGGGGAGCAGCTGTGACGGCGACATGGTACCTGCGGGGCGGCTGGCATCCTGTTCCAGGGAGTCTCTGGCCTTGACCTTGCCCCTGTGTCTCACGGCCCGATTGAAGATGGAGTTCCTCTGAAGGGAGGTGCGGCGGTGGGGCTCTCCGTCCCGGCTCTCCTGGTCGGTGCAGGGTGTCTCCTCTTTCCTGCAGAGTAACTGGGGCCTGGCCTCGGCGGGGGCGGGGTCGGCGCTTGGTTGCCCTGAGCCAGTCACTGCTTTCTCCCGGGGCTTCTCCCGGCCTCCAGACTCCCTGGTCTCCATGAAAGCAGAGCAGCCGCCGAGTCTATGACGTCCGCAGACTTCCTCCAACCAGGTGCCTTAGGACAGACAGACAGTTTCCAGTTAGAGTTCTCAAGCTAAACCCTCCATTCCGGGACAGAACTCGCTCCCATTCAGACCTGGGGAAATCTGGGATAACGTGCACGTCCCCGCAGCCTCCTGTTTGTGGGTGAAAATTGCAGCCTCACCACTGCCGTTCAGACACTTATGCATCATTTCATAATTGAGGCTTGTTTAGCCTATTCATAGGCTGCTTTGTGCAGAAAATGCTTCCAGCGCCCTGTGCAACTAACTTCCAAGTAAACATTCTCTGAACATTTAATAGAAAGGGAGTAACAAAATAGCGAGGAACTCCAGGAGCAAAGTGAGGCCCCGCAGATGCAGTGAGACCCCACAGATGCTCCAGAAGAGAGGTGAGGCCCCACAGATGTTCCAGGAGAGAGGTGAGGCCCCACAGATGCTCCAGGAGAGAGGTGAGGACCCACAGATGCTCCAGGAGAGAGGTGAGGGCCCACAGAGGTTCCAGGAGAGAGGTGAGGGCCCACAGATGTTCCAGGAGAGAGGTGAGGCCCCGCAGATGTTCCAGGAGAGAGGTGAGGGCCCACAGAGGTTCCAGGAGAGAGGTGAGGATGCTCCAGAGGAGAGGTGAGGCCCCACAGATGTTCCAGGAGAGAGGTGAGGCCCCGCAGATGTTCCAGGAGAGAGGTGAGGGCCCACAGAGGTTCCAGGAGAGAGGTGAGGCCCACAGGTGCTCCAGGAGAGAGGTGAGGGCCCACAGATGCTCCAGGAGGGAGGTGAGGGCCCACAGAGGCTCCAGGAGAGAGGTGAGGGCCCACAGAGGCTCCAGGAGAGAGGTGAGGGCCCACAGAGGCTCCAGGAGAGAGGTGAGGGCCCACAGAGGCTCCAGGAGAGAGGTGAGGGCCCACAGAGGCTCCAGGAGAGAGGTGAGGGCCCACAGAGGCTCCAGGAGAGAGGTGAGGGCCCACAGAGGCTCCAGGAGAGAGGTGAGGGCCCACAGAGGCTCCAGGAGAGAGGTGAGGGCCCACAGAGGCTCCAGGAGAGAGGTGAGGGCCCACAGAGGCTCCAGGAGAGAGGTGAGGGCCCACAGAGGCTCCAGGAGAGAGGTGAGGGCCCACAGAGGCTCCAGGAGAGAGGTGAGGGCCCACAGAGGCTCCAGGAGAGAGGTGAGGGCCCACAGAGGCTCCAGGAGAGAGGTGAGGGCCCACAGAGGCTCCAGGAGAGAGGTGAGGGCCCACAGAGGCTCCAGGAGAGAGGTGAGGGCCCACAGAGGCTCCAGGAGAGAGGTGAGGGCCCACAGAGGCTCCAGGAGAGAGGTGAGGGCCCACAGAGGCTCCAGGAGAGAGGTGAGGGCCCACAGAGGCTCCAGGAGAGAGGTGAGGGCCCACAGAGGCTCCAGGAGAGAGGTGAGGGCCCACAGAGGCTCCAGGAGAGAGGTGAGGGCCCACAGAGGCTCCAGGAGAGAGGTGAGGGCCCACAGAGGCTCCAGGAGAGAGGTGAGGGCCCACAGAGGCTCCAGGAGAGAGGTGAGGGCCCACAGAGGCTCCAGGAGAGAGGTGAGGGCCCACAGAGGCTCCAGGAGAGAGGTGAGGGCCCACAGAGGCTCCAGGAGAGAGGTGAGGGCCCACAGAGGCTCCAGGAGAGAGGTGAGGGCCCACAGAGGCTCCAGGAGAGAGGTGAGGGCCCACAGAGGCTCCAGGAGAGAGGTGAGGGCCCACAGAGGCTCCAGGAGAGAGGTGAGGGCCCACAGAGGCTCCAGGAGAGAGGTGAGGGCCCACAGAGGCTCCAGGAGAGAGGTGAGGGCCCACAGAGGCTCCAGGAGAGAGGTGAGGGCCCACAGAGGCTCCAGGAGAGAGGTGAGGGCCCACAGAGGCTCCAGGAGAGAGGTGAGGGCCCACAGAGGCTCCAGGAGAGAGGTGAGGGCCCACAGAGGCTCCAGGAGAGAGGTGAGGGCCCACAGAGGCTCCAGGAGAGAGGTGAGGGCCCACAGAGGCTCCAGGAGAGAGGTGAGGGCCCACAGAGGCTCCAGGAGAGAGGTGAGGGCCCACAGAGGCTCCAGGAGAGAGGTGAGGGCCCACAGAGGCTCCAGGAGAGAGGTGAGGGCCCACAGAGGCTCCAGGAGAGAGGTGAGGGCCCACAGAGGCTCCAGGAGAGAGGTGAGGGCCCACAGAGGCTCCAGGAGAGAGGTGAGGGCCCACAGAGGCTCCAGGAGAGAGGTGAGGGCCCACAGATGCTCCAGGAGAGAGGTGAGGCCCAGAGGTGCGTAGGGGCTGTTGGGAGAGCGGAACGGGGAGGGGCTGCGCCAGTGAAGGGCCCCACGATGGTGAATTTAGAGAAGGCAGGTTGGACCCTAGGACAATGTCCTGCTACCGACTGGTGAGCAGGCCGGACAGGACGGTGACGTCCCTCTGGGGAGACCATACAATGCATCATCGGAACCACCATTCATGGGAAAACAGGGTACAACAGTAAGAACCAGGGCTGCCCAGGAAAAGCCCTCCCTGCCCACAGCCCTGCTCCCAGGGGAGGGGCTCCCAGCGGGCTAAGGGACGCATGGCCCTCCCAATGAGACGTTCGCGGCTGGGACAGTGTCCCAGGCAGAGGGCCACGCGTCTTTGTAATTCCCTCTCCACCGAGGGTTTGGAACCGGGGTCCAGTGGGTTCCTTGGAGGTTTCAGGGTACCTGCGTGGTATGCAAAGGCCGTGTGCATATGGGTGTAGGTGTTCCTCTGGGTTACAGGTTCAAAGCTTCTATCATGTTCCTAGATGGGGTAGAGACTCAAGAAAGCTGAAGAAGCCCCCCAGGGCAGTGACAGGGCAGTGACACAGAGCTCTGTGATGCTGGGCCACGTGGGCAGGGTGGGTTTGTGTCCTGAGGCCCCTCTGTACCTGCTGGAGACACTCTAGTGTATGCCTGTGGTCCAGGCTGCCTGAGCCGGGGGGCGAGTTGCAGTGTGAAGACCCTTTTGGAGGTGCCTCTCCTCCGCCCGCAGGGCCTCCTGGGGAACTGCCTCCTCCGCACCTGCTGCAGGTCTGCTCAGTCTCGGGCCACCTTGCCTGTAAACGACCGGCCAGGCGGAGTGGGTATTCAGGTCTGCAGAGGCTGAGAAGGGCTGAGGAAGGGCCTGAGTGGGGCGGCAGGTTGGGTGCGGGATCTGCCCGAGCTGGCAGGGGCTTGGGAGCACCCTCACCAGCCTGGCCAGCCATGGGGCCCAGACAGTCAAGTCACTTTGGGACACACCTCCCCTTCCGGGTTAAAGCTGGGTGTGCCTACAGGAGACCACGGCTACTGTCTCAGGGGCCAGGGGATTGTGGAGTAGCTGAAGGTCACATTAAGGTTGGATGGCTAACGTGACTCCCTCCCAAGAGTGCCTGGGAAGACGATGCTTATCACAAACTTGGCGAGAGCGATGGGGGGACTTTCATTCCCAGCATGTTTAACTGGGTCAGCAAGGGCGTCACCACAAAGCCCAGCAGTCCTCGACTACGTGAGAGGACAAGAGACAGCAGGAGAGGGCCCCACCTGGCCAGAGAAGCAGGGCCCGGCTTTGCTCGGGAACCTGGTTGGGAAGGGCACAAGGAGGGGTAGGGAGGGCCCTGGAGGGGCGCAGACCCGCTGTCCTCCATCTGTCCTCCATGGCTGGGAGGGGGGGGAAGGGGGAAGGAGGAGCTTGGCAGGAAAGGACGTCCACTCGATACAAGGCAGGGACTGCATTTCGGAGCATTCGAAGGTGGAGTGTCACATCGAGGGGCTAGATTCCCCCCGCTGAGGGGCTGGAGGGAGAGCCAGATCCGTGAGTGGGATTCGAGGGCATCCACCCACCCATGATGGGACCCTGTCTTCTCTTCCCCACCCTCCATGTCTCTCACCTCAGTCAAACTCTTACATTGAAGCTGTTCTCAGCCTACAGCCGGGTCTGGGGACAGACAGCGAGTGGGGTGGACACGTAAGATTCAGCTGTGTGCTGGGACCAGCCTGGAGAGGTCTCTGGAGGTCAGACCAGGGAGCTCCCCAAATCCTGCTGTGGCAGGAGGCCCTGAGGACTCTGAGCAGGGAGGCAGTGGGAGCTCCGGGCAGCTCTGAGTGGGCGTTCTGAGGACGAGGGACTCCCTGAGGGGTGTGGCACAGGATGGTAGGTGAGCACCCAGACAAGGTGGAGCCTGGAGTGAAGAAAGAGAGGGATCCCAGGGTCCTGACTCACGGTGGTTTTGGGAGGAGCAGGAGAGGGAGACGCCTCAAGGCTGGGGGTGAGCCAGGGTGGGAAGTGGAGTAAAGCCAGTCTGGGCTCCAGCGCGCTGGTTTCGGGATGCTGGGCTGGAAACCGCCCAGGGGAGTCTGCAGTCAGAAATTCCCACTGCAGTCGGACTGCCTGCGGCTGACAGGCCGGCCCTGGCTCTGACGGGGATCATGAAGACCTCCGTGTTGCGGCCCTAACACCAACTTTTACTGGCATTCAAGGTGATTATTATCCTTATCATCACATTCCCACTTTTAGGGCTGCCCTTAAAAGTTGAGGTATTGGGACCAACAGTTGGCATAATGGCTATGTCTCTAGACTCTCATGTAGGCGACCGCAGTTCAAGTCCCAGACCCAGAAGCTTAAACTCATGCTGAGCGCGTGTGCGTGCATGCCCAAGATCCCGAGAGGAGAATGAAGAAGGGATTGTGGTGTGGCCATCCCCCCGGGGGGTGATTTCTCGCTTTCTGTCTCTCTGTCTCTCTCTGTCTTTCTGGTGAGCGCGCGCCCTATAGCGAAAACCTCTCCAAAAAAAAAGAAAAAAAGAAAAGTTGAGGCATTTCTGTACAGTGGCGTTTACCCTTTTTAGAGTACTATTCTGTGAGTTTTGACACACGCATGGATTTCCTGTGACCACCACCTGGATCTAGGTTCAAAAGCCGGGCCAGGCGGGGTGCAGTGGTGAGACCTGACTCTGCAGCTGACCTGACAGGCAGGCTCCCGATCTGTCCCCTGGGCACACGAGTACCCGTGATTGGGCTGGCTGGAGCTGCGGGTGGACT